GAAGAATTCTAGATTTAATTGGATTATTTGTCTTTAAAGTGCAACTGACACCATTTTTGAAGCTATCTCAATGGAAAAGCAATAAAAAAATATGTAATATGATAGAAGAAAAAATCAATTTTATGAAAAGCATGATTTTTTACGAATTGTTTAAAGTAATAAATTTTGGCCGAATTCATGACATCTCCAGAATTCCGCGTGTGTTTGATTGGGACTGGGGCGAGCTATTGTTTCTATTTGTGACGTATACCAAGGAACACAAGTGTAAGATTCTTGAGAGTTGTATTGGATTTTGAAGCTGTTTCATGAAGTTTTTCGTTGCCTTTTTCGTGTTATTCTTGAACTATGCCAAATCGTTGTGTAGTTTGGGGCTGTAGCAACACGCCGAACCCTAAAGAAGGAATATTTCTGTTTACTGTGCCGTTTTTCGGCGACGATCGTCCCGAAGCTAAAGGACGCCGAAGGAACTGGGTGAAGTTCATCGCAACGAAGAGGAAAAACTTTAACCCATCCAAAGGATCCTCAGTGTGCTCTGATCACTTCAAGCCCGAGGATTTCTCAATCCGATTCACACAACTGATACCCGGTCAAAAACCCTTGATCSCTCGTTTATTGCGTGATGAAGTTGGCGTTTGTGTATGCCCAAGCATTATACAAGCTACAAAGTTGGACGAAGGTGATAGCGATCGCAAAAGACGAAAGGTGAGAAAACTATCTTGTGTATGCAYATGGTTTAGAAGGATAACATCGATTAAAATTATCTTCTTCGTATGATTATTAGACAATAAAAACTGCGATGAAAGAATATGAAAGTCAGCGACTAGACGCTTCAACTTCAAGTGCAAAYAGCTTGGAGYATTCAACTCCAGAAGTAGACATACATGTACAGCAACTAGAAGACCACGATCAAGTACAACAGACCATAGAAGAGTCTTCRGAARTTTTAGAACAGCACGAAGTCCCTGATTCCACGCCAACATCTCATAATCAACCCCAAAGTCAAGAACAAATTGTARGAATMAAAGTATGACACAACCTTGCTAAAATTTCATMMATGTCAGGTTGAGTTTATTTCTTTACATTTCAGCTCACATCTACATGTACAAGGAAGTGCAAAMATTGTGCAAGGTTGAAGAGAGAGAAAAGGCTGTGGAGACAGAGATGGAGAAAGCAAAAGGAATTGGTTTCAGAAAAAAGAA